CTGGGCTGGATTCGAACCCGCCACCTTAGGTGTATGTGGCTGGTGCCTTAGCCACTTGAGCCACAGGCACCGAGCCCAATTTTCATTTTTTAACAATCTTTTGAAATTTGTATCATGGATTTCTATTATACATTCAAAATGTTACATATTTTTTAATTTTTTAAAGAAGCAGTACAACGGGGTGGTTCCTGTGGCTCAAGGAATAGGGTGCCAGCCCCATATACGAGAGGTGGGTTCAAACCCAGCCCCGGCCGAAAACTGCAAAAAGAAAAAAAAAGAAGAAGAAGTAGCAATGCAACATTGCTTTGGAATAAAATTAACTCTTGCTTTGAATCTTGACTGTGACTTCTGTAATTTGTTTTATCAAATGTAGCCTCTGTTTTCAGAAAATGAAAATAATTGTTCCTATAGCAAAGAAATGTGAGAATTATATGAGATATTCTGTGTAAAAGACTGAATATAAGACCTGACACTATGCACAGCAAGCATGGAACAAATGAGTCTCAAAACAATGAAATAAAAAACATGTAGCACTTCCATTTTAGTTCAAAATTTACTCAGAAATTCTCTTCAGTAAGTCTATACCCACCTGAATAGACCTTGCTATGGTTGAAAACAGTGTTGTCCCCCATAAAGACATGCCACATATGTGTTTACCAAGTGAGAACTCACCCACGCTACATGTACTAAGGGAAAGTTCTTGAGGGGTCTCCTGCCTGCTTGGCTGTGATGTCAAGAGATGCTGAGACTGTAGCTGGCGTGGGGTTTCCTCCCAGGTAGAAATGTTGGGGGAAAAGGCCCTTTCTTGTTCATAGGAGAGTTTTATACTCCACCCAAATGTCTGGCTGGAGGAAAATCCAGCTTCTGAAGACCTAATAGCTTATGTTAGTGAAAAACGTGTTATACACATCGGAAAAGTATTTTTCTAGCCAGATGATTCATTTCAAGAGTTTTGTTTGTTTGTTTGTTTGTTTTATTAAGACAATCTCACTTTGTTGCCCTCAGCAGAGTGCTGTGGCATCATAGCTCACAGCAACCTCAAACTCTTGGGCTCAAGCAATTCTCTTGCCTCAGCCTCTGTAGTAGCTGGGACCACAGGTGCCCACCACAATACCCAGCTATTTTTTTGTTTTGTTTTAGCAGGTCCAGGCCAGATTCAAACCCACTAGCCCTGGTGCATGTGGCTGGCGCCCTAACCACTAAACTATAGGCACCTCCCCCCCATTTCAAGATTCTTGAAAACAGTGGCTCTGCCAGGCACTTAAGATATTACAATTGGTAAGACTACAAGAGAGATAAATAAATTTCAAAAATCTCTGAAAAATTCCATGTAAAATCTCAAGATTTCAGCCAAGGATCTCAGTTTAAAAGTGATCTTCTCTAGCATAGCTGAGAGGCTTTTGCAATGTAGCAAGTCATTACCATTCCAGAGAGAGATGTATAAAGGCTCCTGCCCAGGAGGGTATGACTTACTTTGAAGCTATACCTGACAATGTTCTGGGGTGCGTGTGGGTTGTTGGCTGTCAGTATCCGGGTGAACTCTTCCTTTAACTCCTAAGGGAGAGAAACACCAAGAGGGTCATACATGTAGGCCCCCTATGACCCCTTAGGCTTAGGGGGATCCCTCAGAGTATCAGAAGCCAGGCTCTGTGTTGGCTCACGATCAGTACATGGAGGAAAACATCTCTGAAGCTGGAGGGGTAGAAGGAGCAAGGATAGGAGGCTACTCACTTACCGCATCGGTCAACTCCAGCTGGTCAGGGGGTCTAACTGCGGCTTTGGACTGAATCCAGTCTTCTGTCCCTTCTCCCACTTCAGTCCCTGAATCTTCTTCCTGGATGAAAAGCTCCCATGAGGGTCAGGAATACCTGATCTACTTGGACAAGTAAGCAAGGCTTCTGGAAGTCCCTTCATTCACAAATCCTCCCAGAAGCCAAGCTCTGCCCCTTAGAATCCAAAATGTACAACACCTACTCATGGAAGAGTCCAAAGGAACTACGCAGGACAGAGATTCCCATCTGAATGGTCATGGCTACCTACACCCTGGAGGTCAGGGCTTAGCTAAAATATTGTGGTGGGCTTTTGGCTCCAGTGGTAGAACCAGAAAAACTGGCTCCTCCTTACTGCCTTCCCAGAAGCTAATGTTCAGGACCAAACTGACAAAGGCAACACTTTATGCAAACTGGCTTAGATATCAAGAAAGGATGACATGCTGTTCCTTCAACTCTAATCTATATTTTACCTTCCCATCTGCCACCTTTAGGTTAGTCTTAAGGCAATACTTTCTGTACTTACTTTATTTTTTTCTTTATTATATCATAACTGTGTACATTAATCCATTTATGGGGTACAATGTGCTGATTTGATATACAATGTGGAATGCTTACATCTAACTGATTAACATAACCATTTCTTCACTTACTTATCTGTTGTGGTAAGATTTAAACTTAGTTACTTTATTTATTTATTTATTTATTTTTTTTTTTGAGACAGAGCCTCAAGCTGTCCCCCTGGGTAGAGTGCCATGGCATTACAGCTCACAGCAACCTCCAACTCCTG